TGCCGAGCCGCGCCGCTTAGTCGAGTCGCACTACTGCTTCTAGCCTACTGCTGCTGCTGTCACGGCTAGTCCCACTGTTCTTCCCTTCGATGCTGAGGGTCTAACGGTCGACTTTGAGGTCTGGGTCGATGATCTGCAGCTTTTCCTACAGTGCGATAGCAAGGATGGAATCTCACTGTTCGATCTCACGTCTGGTGCCTCTGCTGCCCCTATGCTAATGCTGACAGTACTGTTCGCTCGCACTGGACCACACGCGATGCTGCTGCCCACCTTGCTGTGAGTAGTCACCTGCCGTCCACTAATCGCGCGCACTTTAGTCGGTACGAGTGCTAAGACTCTGTACGACGCTGTAGTTGCACGCTACTCCTCCCCTGCCACTGCTGCCCTTAGTCGCCTCATGCTGCCGTACCTGTTCCCTGACCTCGCTGCCTTTGCCACAGTCGCTGACCTCATTACGCACCTCCGCACTAGTGACACCCGCTACCACGCGGCGCTTCGTGCTGAGTTCTGCGCCAAGAACCCCACCCCCCCCCCCCCCAATGTACATCACCCTCTACTACCTAGTCACCCGGCTCCCTAACTCCCTTTGCTCGGTTAGGGACAACTTCCTCTCTCTTTGCCCCACCACACTCACTGTTGACCACCTCGAGGAGCGCCTCCTTGCAGCTGAGAAGAGTATAGTCGCTGTAGGAGCCTCTCGTGGTGACCCTCGTGCCCCTTTCTTTGAGGGGTGCTCCCCCGTCCCCCTTTTGCCCTCTGTTGCTTCTGATGCTGTTGTCAACCTCGTTGGCACCGAGTCGGTCGGCGCTGCATCTACTCTTAGTGGCAGGCGCCGCAACGGCAAGGGCAAGGGGGGCAAGGGAACTGGAGGAGCTGGCGGGGGCAGCGGTGGTGGCGGTGGAGGCGGCGGAGGGGGTGGGGGTGGGAGTGGTGGCGGGGGTGGGGGCTTCGGTGGCGGCGGTGGAGGTGGAGGCGGCGGCGGCGGCAGCGGTAGGGGTGGAGGCGGCGGCGGCGGAGACGGCGGAGGCGGTGCTGGAGCTGGTGGTGCTGCTAGAGTAGGTGCTGCTGGAGGTACTGGAGCCAGAGCTGCTGCGTCTTCCAGTGGTCCTACTGGAGCTGGAGCTGCTGGAGGTACTGGAGCTAGAGGTGCTGCTAAAGCTGGTGATCCTGTGGGTGATGGAGTTGGCGCTACTGGAGTAGCTGGTGGTGCTGCTTGAGCTGGTGGAGCTGCTAGAGTCGGAGCTGACACTGGGAGTGCTGGTGCTGTCCCTGCTGGTTCTGGAGGTGCTGCAAGACCACGGCCGTACTTCTTTGCGCTCCTTGAGCAGGTTCTTGGTCTTCTGCCTTCTACTCGTCCTGCTCCTTCCTTAGAGTGTCCACCGCCTGTCCAGTTCGAGTCATAGTTACAGCTGGCCTCCCCACTGTCTGCTCCTACTCCCTACACTGGTCCTGCTGGAGGTATTACTGAGCGTCGTGAGCATGAGTCTCGTCCTGCGTCACCTGCTCGTGCTGCTCGCACTGGTCGTGGTGTTCCGCGCCAACGTCCTCCTGCGGTCCCTGGCACACACCAGATGGCACTGCGTCCTTCTACTGCTCCACTGCGTGTCCCTTTGCCGTCTCCTCCAGAGTCCTCTCTTCCTACTCTTTCTGACCCGGGGTCTGACTTTCTTCGTGCTGCCAGTCCTACTGTCACGCGTCTCCTGGCTACTGTTGTCACTGACCCTTCCTTTGAGTCCACTGCTGCGTCTGCCTTAGTTGCTGAGCTTGTCGACTTCGCTACTCATTGTCGTCTAGACTACGCCGCTAGTCTTGTTGCTGAGACTGAGTCTGTCTGTCCTCCGTCCGTCGGGGGTAAGTGTGCTCTTAGCACTGACGTCCTTGAGGACAGGCAGGAGGAGATCTAGTATTTTGCTACTGCTTTACCTCATCTCGTATCCATGCTGCTTGCCCCTGAGAGAGACACGGATGCTCCAGACATGCCGACCCCACGCACTTACGCAGAGGCAATAAAGGGTCCCTGCTTCTCTCAGTGGTAGTCAGCCATGGACGCAGAGATGGTTTCCTGGAAGTCCACAGGCACCTACGTCGAGGAGGTTCCCCCACATGGGGCGAACATCGTCAGTGGCATGTGGATTTTTAGGGTGAAGCGGCCGCCGGGTTCTCCGCCTGTCTTCAAGGCGCGTTACGTGGCTCGACGCTTCAGTCACCGGCAGGGAGTTGACTTCTTTCAGACCTTCTCTCCCACCCCGAAGATGACCACTCTTCGGGTGCTGCTGCACAACGCCACTCAGTGCGACAACGAGCTCCACTCTCTTGACTTCAGCACTGCTTTCCTACAGGGCAGCCAGCACGAGGAGATCTGGCTGCGCCGCCCACCTAGCTTCTCTGGGTCGTTTCCTGCTGGTACCCAGTGGAGCCTTCGGCGGCCAGTCTACGGTCTCCGCCAGGCGCCGCATGAGTGGCACGATGCACTGAGGACTATACTTGCAGGTTTGCTCCTTCGACTACTGACCCGTCACTGTTTCTTCGCACCGACACCTCTTTGCCGACGTTCTACATCCTCGTGTACGTCGACGACTTGGTCCTTGCTACTGCTGACACTGCTCGACTCGCCCACATGAAGTCCGAGCTGCAGAAGAGACACACGTGCACAGACCTGGGTGAACTGCGCAGCTATCTTGGCCTGCAGATCACCCGGGACAGAGCACGCCGCACCATTACCCTGACTCAGTCACACATGGTGCAGCAGGTCCTTCAGCGCTTCAACTTCACGTACTCCTCGCCTCAGGCCAATCCTCTGTCTACTCGCCATTTGCTCTCAGCTCTGCCTTCGGATGAGTCCGTAGAGCCGAGTGGCCCGTACCCAAAGCTTGTTGGCTGCCTTATGTACCAGATGACCTGCACTCGACCTGAACTGGCATACCCTCTTAGCATTCTCGCACGCTATGTTGCTCCTGGGAGACACCGACTGGAGCACATGGCTGCAGCGAAGAGGGTGTTGCGCTACTTGTGCAGTACGTCGGGCATGGGGCTCGTGCTTGGAGGGCGGAGTCCAGTGGTCCTCAGTTGTCACGCAGATGCGTCTTGGGTTGACGACCCGGCTACGCAGCGGTCGTCACAGGGTTACACCTTCAGCCTTGGTTCCGGCTCTGTCTCGTGGCGGTCTACCCGCTCGTCTTCTGTTCTCAGCTCCAGTTGTGAGGCTGAGATCTACGCTGGGGCCATGGCTGCACAGGAGTTACGCCGGCTCACCTACCTGCTGACTGACCTGGGAGAGCCGCCTCGTTCTCCTCTAGTTCTGTACGTAGACAACAAGGCCATGCTGGCCTTGTGTCGAGAGCACAGAATGAAGCATATTGCTCTTCGCTACTTCCTTGCTCGTGAGCTGCAGCAGCGTGGTCAGCTCCGTCTTGTTTACGTGGCCTCTCGGGCCAACACTGCTGATATCTTCACCAAGGCGCTTCAGCCTTGTGATCATCATCGCTTTTGTACCATGTTTGGTCTTGTGCCTACTTGGCCTCACTTGCTTACCTCTTGACTTTGCTTGTACTGTGATCTATATATATACCTGCACTTGCATGTTTACCTTTATATATAATCGTGTATGTGAACTGGCCTTGTGGCCTTTGAACCTGTGCTCGGAATGTGTGGTGACGTTGTGATCCACCCTGAGCTTGCTTTGCTTGAGTGGTCTTGTGACTCCTAATTCTCCCCTACTTTGTCTACGAGGGTGTGTCAAAGTTATATGATATAGTCTATCTAGGCCGTAGTGGGGTAGACACCATAGGGTACAACACTTCTAGGTTTCCTACTTACCCACTTGTTTGCTAGTCATTCCATTCCTCTCTCTTCACACGTGGAGCCCGCAAAATCGATTTTTTGATACGCTGGAGACACCGCACGCCCACCGAAGACAACTGGGTTCCCCTGGACATAATTGAAAACCACCCCGTCCCTACCGAGTACCTACGCAGCCGCAATTTCCGGGATGTACACGCGCTCTCGTAAGGAGGGCCTCCTGGGAGGGGGGTTAGTGTAAGGATTTTTTTTTTCCTTACTTTGCGTCCCTGGTCAGTGCGTACACCACTGTTCTCGCCAACAACACCCAACAGTAAACCGTTACCACTCGCGACACTCGCCTCGACACTGTTCCCGCCACACTTCACGACGCGACCCAACCTCACTGTTCGGTTGGTAACCCGGGTTCCGGACCTCCGCCTCGACAATTCCCAACCTCGGCGCTAGGCCCGTCGCGCACCCCAGATTCACGCATTACCGTTACCAATGTAGTTTCGCCATATAATATTCGCTCATCCCTTAGCTCATTGTATTGTTTTGCTTTTAGATAGTGCAATTCTCGGTCGGTTGCTCAATTGCACTCGTAACAGTTGGAAAAGAATGTTGGAATAGGCTTTGGAGGAGTTGAGTGGTTTAGTTGTGTTCTTAGGGTGCGTTCCTGGTTCGTGGCAGGGCCACTGTAGCAGGCACTGTTGGTGGCATGCGGGAAAACCGCATGCCACCAACATTTTGCCCGAGTCGCGCGCGACACGATTTTGGTGGAATTGACATGACATTTTTGGGACATTGCCCAATCACGCACCTGTATTTGCGCGCCAAAATTCCTGACACCAACCTGGCGTTTTATGTGTTCGTGGCAGGCTGCCATCTACAGTGGCCCTGCCACGAACCAGGAACGCACCCTTAGTAAATGTGAGGGTGGTGTTTTGAGGGGAAGGGGTTGGAGTGGCAGAGTAGCATGGCACGTTTAGAGGGTGCCATTCACAATACTAGCTGGGTCACTTCAGGATCAGAGGCACAGGAACCTACAGAGCCACGCCTCCGTGTTGCAAATCGGGTCTAGATATCAAACCCGCCGCTGGCTTCATTCGCCACTGAGCGCAACGGGAGTAGCGGAGCTAGCAGTGACCGTAGTACGCTTGCGAGTCCGCACACGTGTTTCGTTCGGTACTCCCCACGCACCAGTCCACCCGCCGTGCGCCATGGCACTGCGCGCGGCCCCCAGGCTCCGCGCGCTGCATTCCGCCGTGCTGCGCGCCCCGCCTTCCCCCGCCGCCTCCCCCCCCCTCGCTCTGTTTCCGCCCGCCGTAGAGGCTTGGGGCTTTGGGTTGCGCGCGGCTGTTCCGCGCACGGGGCAAGGGCGGAAGGGCAGCCGAGCAGGGGAAGCCGCCGTTACGGTCGGATCGGGTGGAGGGTTTGTTGCGCGAGCGAAGGACAGTGGCAGCAGCGGCGGCAAGAGCGGCAGTAGGGGTAGCAGCAGAAGCGTTGGCAGCAGATCTAGCGGCAGCAGCGGGCGGGGCAAACGCGTCGAGGGGCACGGGCGCAGTGGCGGATGGGCGCAAGGGGGCAGGTCGGACGGGGGCCGCGGTTGGCGGCAGGGCGGGGGGAGGACGGATTTTGACCGCGCTGACGGCGAGAACAGGGGCTTATCGCGCGAATGGGGAGGTGTTTCTGCGGAGAAGGAGCGGGAGGTCGCGCGCGGCCCGTCGCTTTCCCGAGGAGTGTGCCCTCCGCGACCGGAGAGAGGCGGGGCGCGGGAGCGCGCGGAAAGAGGGGATAGAGAGGGTTTAGGGGCAGGAGAGAGCAACGGGGAGCAGCGTCGCGGGGAGGCGCGCGAGGGGCGCCGGCAAAGGGGCGCAAGGGCGCAGGCTGGGCGGGCGGAAGGGGGAGGGGGGGGAAGAAGGGTGGGAGGCGAGGGGGAGTTCCACCACTGGTGGGGGCGCAAGGGCAAGGACGCGTGGCAGCGCGGGGTGGGGGAGGGAGCGATAGAGAAGATGCAGGAGGCGTGGGAGAAGGGGACGTGGGGCGGGGAGAAGCTGGGCACGTGGGCGCGCAAGAAGCTGAAGCAGGGGTATGGGTGGCGCGCCAAGGCGGCCGTGAAGGAGTGGGAGCTGATGGAGGCGCGGTGGATGCAGGAGGACAGGGCGCGCCTGCTGGCGGAATTCAACGTGGTGTGGGACGAGGGGCGCGGGGCGCACGGTGGGGGAGAGGGGGGCATCGTGGGCATGGTGGGAGAGGTAGATGGAAGGGAGGAGAAGAGTGTGTGGGGCGGGGTGGAAGGGGAGGGGAGTGATGGGAGTGATGGGGCCGGGATGGCAGGAGGGGAGGTGGAGAATGGGGGAGAGGGTGTGGTGGGGGGAAGGGAGCGGAAAGGGGGGAGGCGGAGGAGGAATGAGGAGTTTGTGCGGTTGATGGAGGGTGGTGCTGGGGAGAGCATGAGAGATGCGCGCATGCAGGGTGGGGATAGTAGCGATGGCAGTCGTAGTAATGACAGCAACAGCAGCGACACTGTCCGTGAGAGATCGAGTGAGAGCACCGAAGGCACCGGCGGGAGCAGCCGCATAAGGGAGCGGGTTTTCCGAGCCGTGGAGATCGACAGGGCGGCATTTGTTCGGCAGTTTGTGGTGCCGGGGCTGAGAGTGCCGCCCGCCTCGTGTGGGCCGCTGGTGAAGCAGCTGGCGGCAGCAGGGTGCCTGCTGGACTGGCCTCGCCTTAAGAACGTGGCTCGCGTGGCAGGGGATGGGGGGGATGGGGAGGGTGGTGGGGATTGGGGGGATGTGGGGAATGGGGGGCAGGTTGAGGGCCGAGGGGTTCGAGGCGGGCTGGGGGTAGAGGAGAAGAAAAACGGAGGGCCGAACACGAAGGGGGGTGGAAGAAGGGAAGACGAGGGCATGGCACAGGTGAAGTTGGTGGGTGCAGTGGCCTTGCCTGATGGCCTCCCCTGGCGCGCCCCCCCACCACTGTCCCTCCCCACCCATGACAGCAGGCATGGCAGGCAAGCCAGTCGCATCCTGCTGCTCCGAGAGGACCTTCTGCACTCACCCGCTCACATGCTGCCACCTGTGCTTCAGGTGACGTCACCTCAGCACATGCCTCGGCATGCACACAACATGAGCATGGCTCCCCCACCATGCACCATGCTGCTGTGCGATGTGTCAATCAACACTCCAGGCTGAGGTGTCCATGGCTGCCCTAACCATACCACTCAGCACATGCAGCATCTCACTCATAACTCGTACAAGAGTGTGGCTCGTCCCTTACACCACTTTATGTCTCGCTGATTTATCTTGTGTGTAACCCTCCCATCCAGCATTGAGTGCCGCCGTTTCCCCATCCCATCCCTCTAGGCCATTATCCCACGCCACTTGATTCTCGTTTCCGTCTCTTGCATGCCTAACATTTCTTTCCACATGCCCTTGCTCTCCTCGTGCACTGCTCCCCGTGTTCCCTCACCTCTCTCCACTTTTCGTCTCACTGTCCGCCCCCCTGTCCTTCCCGTCCATCCGCCCCCCGTTGTGCTGTGTGTGCTGTGTGTGTGCCGTGTGTGTGCTGTCTATGTGCTATGTGTGGGATGTCTGTGCCGTGCCTGCTGCGGCCTGTGCGCATGCAGACCATCCTTGGCATGCCATCAACCCCTGCTGGGGCGCACAGCGTGGAGCATGGTCCGCCCACCATGACTCGTGAGGATGAGCATGAGCCATGGCATCATGGTACCACCCAGGGGCATGAAGGTGCACAGCACGGCGAGCGCCAGCGCAACCATGGAGTTAGCCGCGGGGAAGGCCGCAGGGATGGTGTGGTGGAGGGGGCAGAGCTGGTGGCGTGTGCGGTGACGGTGGGGTATGAGTACTGGACGGCGGAGGACATTCTCACACACGTGCTGCCACCGCATGTGCCCGTGCCCACGTCGTTTGAGAGCGTGGGGCACATCGCGCACCTGAACCTGCTCGACGTGCACCTGCCCTACAAGTACCTTATTGCGCAGGTGAGAGAGGAGAAGGAACGGAGGTGGGGAGGGGGGAGGGGGTTGGGAAGTGGGGTAGCACCTCGGTGCCCAGGTGTGGTGGGTGTTAGTAGCACCTCTTCCCCCCTTTGTGCCATTCCACTTGCCCCCTCACACCGTCTTTCTTGCTTTCTCGGCTGGCATCTGTGCCCCTCTCCTTGCACAAGTGCACAAACTGTGTGTCCCTTCTCTTCGTAACGATCCAATCAGTCAACCCCACGTCAAGGCATCCGCACCCCACTCATGTCCCCACCACAATCATATCCCCATGTCCCTGTGCTCCCTCCTTCCCAACGCACTCCACCCTTCCCCGTCAATCTCTCTCTCTGCCTCCCTAATCCCCCAACACCCCTTGCAACCCCCTTTCCTCCATCCACCCATCCTCCATACAAGGTGCTCTTGGACAAGCACAAGCCGCGCATCCTGTCGGTGGTGAACAAGACGGCGGCCATCCACGCGGTGTACCGCACCATGAAGCTCGAGCTGCTGGCGGGCAGCTTCCGCCTCATCACCACCGCCAGGGAGAGCGGCCTCACCTTCAAAGTCGACTTCGCCCGCGTGTCTGTGCTCGCCTGCCCTGCCCCCTCTGCCCCTGCTGCCCTGCTGCCGTTCTGCTGTGCTTCTGTGCTCTGCTCTCTTGCTCCTCCCATCTCTGTGCATTGCTGCCATGCTCTCTTTCTGCCTTGCGCTCGCCGTGGATTCCCCTCGTCACCACACCCAGGGAGAATGGACTCGCTAGTGACTCGCCCGTGTGCCACTGCCAGTTCCCTTTCGTGTGGCTGCCACTTCTTGGTTGTTCGTGACTCACTCTTGTCCTGCTCTGTGCCCACATACCGTTGCCTTAACTCTGACCTGCCTGACCTCTCGCCCAGTGACCGGCTTTCACGTTGTGAGTATGCACACACACTCTGCTCGCATGGCATGCATCACATGGCCTCGTGCTCCCCTGGGGCATGCTGACTCCATGAGTGTGCACCGGCGGATGTGCTGCCGTGTCTGACCTGTGCCAGACAACGTCCAACTTGTTCCTGCCTGCACCTATGCCATCACTTCACACACCTTCCCCTCTCGTCCCTTGCCATGCGCCCTCCCTCGAGTGCCATGAGCAGCTATTGGAACTCTCGTTTGGCCACGGAGCGAGCTCGCCTCGTCTCAACCTTCTCGTCAGCCGATGTTGTCTGTGAGCCCCTTACCCCTCCACTGCTCCTTACCTTGCCACTACTTGGGCCACTACAAAAGCAATTGCCGATACCAATGCTCCTATCGCTGCAAAAGCTCCTGCCCATACCAACACTTCTGTAGTGCTCTTAGCCTGCTGGGAAACACCATCACCACTCCCACCCTCCCTATTCCCTTACCACTTTTTCTGCTCACAGGCAGGATGCTGGCACAAGAAAGGGCGATAGCCGCTGCCGTGGCAAGGAGAGCGGTGCGAGTACAAGCTAACGGCCCCCTCTGCCGTCACTTCACTTCCCTGCTCATCCTTCCCTGCCACCCCTTCTCTCCGCACCACACACCTTGTTTGCATCTGTACAAGCCATGCTCACAGCAGCAGCAAGCACTAAGAGGCATTAGCCACACAAAGCTGCTTTCACCCCTGTCGCCACCCGTTCCCGGTGCACGGCCCGCATGTGCAGGCGATGTGTTCGCGGGAGTGGGGCCGATCGCAGTGGCGGCAGCGAAGCGCGTGAAGCGCGTGTATGCCAACGACCTCAACCCCTCCGCACTCACCTTCCTCGCTCAAAACATCATTGGCAACCGTGTGGACGGCAAAGTCGAGGTCAGCCGGACGGTATCCCGTCCTGACGTCTGTTCCTTGTCAGGCTGTCCCTCTCAAACATCTGTGGCTAGTTCTTCCCTCCTGCATCACCACGCACACTGTGCCTGCTCCCCTCATTTGCAACCCACCAGATGCTACCTGTCTTCCACTCCTTTCCGTTCCTGTATGTGATCCCACCTCTTGCACCCTGTCAATCCTTGTTGCCCTTTCTACCATCAGATATTCAATCTGGACGGCCGTGATTTCATCAGGCACCTGCTCTCACTGCCCCGCCCTGTGCACATGACGCGGATCGTCATGAACCTGCCTGCAGACGCCATCGAGTTCCTCGGTGCGACTTGTGCTTCTGCCTTCTATTTATGCTTGTGCATGCGCTTCTCCGTGTGACGCCTTTTCTCGCACAAGTCTTGGTTACTGTGTGTCTAAGTTGGAATAAACGCGTTTAGCGTTTTGTACGCTCTTGTATATACGCGAGAGTATATACGCTAGACGCTGGCCATGAGGGGTCTGGTACGCACAAGAATACGCTTGCCCGGGCAGGGAAAAACCTTTTCCCGGGCAGATTTTTGGGGTAAGAGGTGGGGATCGGGGGGTGATGTCTAAGTTGGTCATTTACGCCATTTCAGCCCACGTACACGTAACGTACGCGTACATGTACGTTTACGTGTACATACGCGTACGTACGTGTACGTACGCCGGGCAGGTCGGAAAAAAAATATGCGTTGAAATTTCTTTGAAAACGGTTTCCGAAAAAAAACTAAAAAATAAAAAATCTTTCGACGACCTGTGCTCTGTTAGCGTGTTAGTAAAACGGCGCGACGTTTGTCAAAGTAGTAATGTAAGAAACAGGAAGGTTGCTAGCTAGGGTCGCTATGGTGTGGCGACTACCCTAGGTACTATGTCGACTAAGGCGGCAGAACTACGATAGCTAAGTCTGTCGAGAGAGGGAGGGAGGAAATTGTGGTGGGAGTAGATTTGAATGTGTGCAAACTGTTCGCGATAGAACATTGCGAACAGTTTGACTCAGATTGCGATTGCTTCGTTTGCAAGGTAAGCGAATGTCACCCGCTCGGCAGTTTCGTCACCGCCGAGCTTCACTGGTTTCGGCGAATCCCAACTTCGAGTCAACCCATTCGCCGAGTCAAATCTAAATCTACACTACATGATGGAATTCTTACACTGTATGATGGAAATAATGATTACGAGGGAAAAGTATAGAGAAAATATACATATCCGGGAAGCCCAGAAAATTTTTCACCTGCCCGTAAATTAGGCCTCCAACCCAACAGCCGCGTAAACGTACGTACCCGTACACGTACGTACGTAAACGTAAACGTAAATGACCAACTAAGGGTGATGTAACCTCCATCACCTTTTTATTAATATGAAAGTTACAGTAATTTACCACTAAAGTACCCGCAAAATGGTGGTGGGGTGGGGTTGAGGAGGTTTGGAGCTCAAAGTTCAAAATTCGAGTTCAGTTGGCGACATCTGCGACTCGAAATAGAGATCGCCACGTCGCGAGCTTCAGATTGAAATGTTGTTTTGTTTTTTTTTCGGTCTGCCCGAAATTCAACTTGGCGAATTTTCAAATTATGCGCATCGTACGAATTCGTTAAAGCTCCGATGTACATTTGAAAGGAGGGGTTCAAAATCCTTAGGAACTTGAAAAGTTACCCCAAAACTGTAAGGCACTCTGGATAAACCCGAAATCCCGCTGACAAATGTAAACCGGAGCTTTAAGAGTATAAACGCAAAACGCAAAAGAAAAGTAGCGTATATTCCAACTTAGCTGTGTGTGCGGCACGGCTGCCTTATGGCCCTTGTCGTCTCACACACTCAACCTTCCTGGGATGGCAGCCTGCTCATGGGCATCAGCACCTTCATCTCCGCCCGCCACCCATCTCTCTCACACCCGTTGCATGCCTCACCTCCGCTTCCCACTCCATCCCGCTCCACTCCTCTCACTCCACCATCCCATGCCAGATGTTCTCAAGGGGGCTTTTCCTCTGGGAAAGTGGGGCACCAGGACCCCTCCGCCCCTCATCCATGTGTATGCATTCTCCAAGGCCGCTGACCCTGAGCTAGAGCTATCACAGGTGCGCTGCCACCGCCCTCCCACTTAGCACCTCAACCTTGCCCTTTCCTCCACCCCTCCTGTGTACTAGCTCGCCACACTGCTAGTCTGTCGATGGAGTGCATTCAGTTGTCGCCCTTCCATGTTCCCACCTGCACTCTCTTCAATGCTCCCTTCCCCACTTTCCCCTTCCTCCCTCCCCCTGTGTCCCCCCCAACAGCGCATATCAGCAGCGCTGGGCGGCACTGTCACGGGCATTGACTTCCACAGGGTGCGTCTCGTGGCGCCCTCCAAGTGGATGTTTTGCTGCTCCTTCCGCCTACCTCCCGCTGTAGCATTTGATTCCTGGTGATTTGCCTACACCATAACTTGCCTTGTGTCTTCTAGCAAGTTGCATGGTGGAGAAAAATCCCTGATTATTCCACAGAATAGTTGGATTCTCACTGAAACGTGTTGGACTGAAAAATAGCCTAAGCATCTTTTAAAGTTTAGTCTTGATACCGGTACCGTAAGTATTGCAGCAGAAGTCTGTGAATTCGGTGATGTACGGTACGTGTTCACAAACTGAGTTACCGTATTACCCCGGATGTAAGTGCATTTGTGCTTATAATAAAACAGTGTTTTTTAGGGGGTGCGCTTATAATTGAGTCAAATTTATAAGCACATGCGCTTATATAATGGATACATAATTATGATTTAAAGCACCAAATTGTGCATCCCAGTACAGTTGCATTTTTAATCGAAATGGGCATCAGAATCGCGCGAGGGCGATTTTCTGCCGGCGCACAGAGGCAAGGACTCGTCAAGCTTGCCCCGGCCCAATCACAGTCGCTCGCTCAGTGCACAGCACCCACGGCTGTGCTGTCAGTCAGCTTCGCCCCAGGCCAGCATATGAGCCACTCGCGTGCAGTCGCTCGCTCGCAGCGCACAGGCACGGTCCCTTTTTCCACCCCCCCCCCTTCGCCCCGAAAGGGCTGTCAGTCAACGGCTTTGCAAGGTTCCGCCTTTCCTGATCGAATCGCCCGTGCTCAAGAGAGTCAACCGAAGTACGGTAGAAATGGATGTGGGTGGACTCGCTGCAAAATAGGGAATCGTTACCGTATTAATCATGATTTTAAATAAAAATTGTACATGCGCTTATAATAAATCAAGGTTTTACACGGGGTGCGCTTATAATTGAGGATCAGCCATAAGCGCATTGCTCCAGATACAAGCGCATGCGCCTTTAATAGGCCTGCGCTTATATCCGGGGCCATACGGTAACTTATCAAGTCGACTCTTGGTACTTTCTTGTGTTACAACAGTCACAAGCCTGTTCGTGCTGTTGGGCTGAGAAAAGCCCTTAGGATCTTTCAAGGCTAAGATAAGACTCTGATAAGAATGTTGAATTGCAGAAGCGTTGTGATAAGGAACCTTGTTGAACCACCTTTGTTATGAGTTGTAAGAAAGAAGAGTGCGCATAATGCAATATCGCGGAAGTGATTACAACCACTGAGCAAACAACGAGGCCTACCGTAGGTATAATAAAGCACATCTAGCTAGGCTGAAGGTCGCGGAGTCGCGCGAAGGTTGGGTGCAGGTTTGGGGTTGGGCAACCTGAGGGCGACGCGGGAAACGTTCGGAAGGCGAGGTCGTCGGACCGAGCCTGAATTCCGAAAGTTGGAATTGTACGAGAAAGAGATGCCTCAGTAAGGAATTAACGAAATTCCTTACAGTACCCCCCCCCTTAAGAAAGGTATCAGGTACATGTCGGCGAGAAAGATACTGCCGAAGTACCGAGTGCCCTCGTAGTGAGTCAGCCGGAACCCACGTGTCATCTTCGCCTGTGCGATCCACCCAGCGTAGGAAGTCGACGTGGCGTCCGGCGGGGGTCGCATGAATGCGATGGTTCAATATCTTCCAAGTTTGAAGCGTCAGGTCTGCCACAGGTCGGACACTTGGCGCTTGGTGGGGTCGGGCGACATCGGACGACTGCGGTGCTACATAGTGGCGAAGTAAACTGACGTGGAAAGCGTCGTGGATTCTCCATTCGTCCGGTAGGAGAAGTTTCGCAGTGACCGATGTCAGCATCTGACTGATGCGAAAGGGTCCCACGTAGCGTGGACGTAGTTTTGCAGGCTGGGGCAGCTTGAGGTTTTTTGTGTCCAGGAGGACCATCTGCCCGTCACGCGGCCCCGCCGTCACCACCGAGCCGCCGGGGCCGCCGAGCTGTTGCCGAGCCGCCAGCGCCACCCGAGCCGCCGCGCCACCTTAGCCGCCCGAGCCGCCGGGGCGCCGCACGCCGAGCTGCAGTTGCCGCCGAGCTGCCGTACCGCCGAGCCGCCCGAGCCGCCGAGTCGCCGAGCCGCAGTTGCCGCCGAGCCGCCCGAGCCGCCGAGTCGCCGAGACACCGAGCTGCAGTTCCTGCCGAGTCGCCCGAGCCGCCCTGTCCGGTAAGAGCAGCGCCTCTATCACTGCACTACCCTTACCCTTCTTTTAGCGCTGCTAGTCTACTGCTGTCATGGCTACCCCTAGGGTCCTCGCTTTTGACGCTGAGGGTCGGGCCATTGACTTTGACGTCTGGGTAGATGACCTGCAGCTTTTCCTACAGTGCGATAGGGCAGACGGTCTCTCCCTCTTTGACCTCACCTTTGGTGCCTCTCCTGCCCCTGCTGCTGATGCTGACGCCACTGTTCGCTCTCAGTGGGCCACACGCGATGCTGCTGCACGTCTTGCTGTGCGTCGCCACCTGCCTACCTCTGAGCGTGCACACTTTAGCCAGTACAAGAGTGCTCAGACCTTGTACGACGCTGTAGTTGCACGCTACTCCTCCCCTGCCACTACTGCACTGAGCCCGCTCACGCTACCGTACCTCTTCCCTGACCTTGCTGCTTTTCCCACAGTCGCTGACCTCATTACGCACCTCCGCACTAGTGACACTCGCTACCGCGCTGCGCTTCCTGTTGAGTTCTGCGCCAAGAACCCCCCCCCCCCCCCCCCCCCCCCCCCCATGTACATCACTCTCTACTACATAGTCACCCGACTCCCTAACTCTCTCCGTGTAGTCAGGGACCACTTCCTCTCAGTTTGCCCCACCACTCTCACCGTTTACCTCCTCGAGAAGGCCCTCCTTGCAGCAGAGAAGAGCATAGTCGCTATAGGAGCCTCTCGTGGTGACCCTCGCACCCCTGTCTTTGAGGGATGTTCCCCCTCCCCTCTTTTGCCCTCTGTTGCCTCTGCTGCTGCGGCCGACCTCTTTGGTTTCGAGTCGGTCGGTGCGGCATCTGCCCTGAGTGGGAGACGACGCACCGGCAAGGGCAAGGGGAGCAAGGGCGCTGGAGGGGCTGGAAGGGGTGGCGGAGGTGGCGGTGGAGGCAGTGGAGGGGGTGGGGGTGGTGGTGGGAGTGGTGGTGGGGGTGGAGGTGTCGGTGGTGGCAGTGGAGGCAGAGGCGGAGGTGGCGGCGGCGGTGGGAGCGGAGGTGGCGGAGGTGGTTGCGGAGGTGGAGGCGGCGGCGGAGGAGGCGGAGCTGGTCGGGGTGGCGCTGCGCAGAGGGTCGGCTCCGGTGGTGGTCAGCGCCAGCAGCAGCAGCAGCAGCAGCAGCGCACTTGTGACATCCCCTCCCCTCAGCAGCTCAGTGAGTGGTACGCTGCACGCCAGCGGGGTGGGGGTACTGGTCCGTGCACCTACGTCCTACGCACTGGCGACCACACGGGTGAGCAGTGCGGGGGTGCGCACTCCACCCAACGCTGCTTTGGCCGCCTGACGGACGCTTGGCGTCACCAGTTCCCTGAGGCCACTGAGATCCTTCGGTGGGGCGAGCTGTCTAGGGCGGGAGTAACTATCTTTGACCTTGACTTTGATGCTATTCTTGCTGCCATGTATGCTGTGACTATTAGTGATGAGGGTGACTGTTACCGGTGTTTTCCGCCCGACCCGGGCATTGGGACTGCTACTCTAGGTACTGGTGAGGCTGCTGCTCTAGGTGCTAGCGAGGCTGCTGCTCTAGGTGCTAGTGCGTCTGCTTCCTCAGGTGCTGGTGAGGCTGCTCTCTCAGGTACTGCGTCGGCTTCGGCCTCCCACACCTTCACCCTTGACTCGGGGGCTTCTCGCTCCTTCTTTCGAGACCGCACCACACTCACGCCGCTTGGTCGGCAAGTTGCAGACTCTCTGGCAGACCCCTCTGGGGGTCCTGTCCTTGCTCACTTCTCCACTGTCCTCCCGTGTCCGGCGGCCCCCTCTGGCACCCTGTATGGTCTTTACCTCCCCTAGTTCTCTACGAACTTGGTGAGTGGTGCTGACCTACAGGATGCGGGAGTTCACCAGTTCACTCCTGCGAGCCAGCGGGTGACCCACTGCACGGACGCTCGGACGGGCCAACACTTGGCCACGTTTACACGTCGACCGGGGTCGAGCCTCTACACACTGACCACTCCGTCTCCTCCAGTCACTGCGTCTGGTCAGGTAGCTGCGTCGGGTCAGGTGTTTGCTGCAGCGTCCAGGTCTGATCCTGGGTCTGCCCCCTGCTCGTGTCGCCTCCTGTCTCACGAGACTCTCCTCTGGCACCAACGCCTTGGTCACCCCTCCCTGCTTCGTCTCCGAGGCATGGCCTCCCGTGTCCTTGTCTCTGGTCTTCCCCAGTCCCTCCTTCCCCTTCCTCCGGGGCCTGCCCCTACCTGCATCCACTGTGTCGAGGGGCGGCAGCGGGCTGCCCCTCACTCCTCCCAGTTTCCTCCGACAGAGGCCGCGCTGCAGACGCTTCACATGGACGTGTGGGGCCCGTCCCGCGTCCGTGGAAAGGGTCACGAGCGCTACTTCTTGCTGGTGGTTGACGACTACTCGCGTTACACCACAGTCTTCCCCTTGCGCAGCAAGGGTGATGTCACTGAGGTGTTGATCGACTGGATCCGCGCAGCTCATCTCCAGCTCAGGCAGAGCTTCGGCTCGGACTTTCCTGTTCTGCATCTGCACTCTGACTAAGGCGGAGAGCTCTCCTCTGGCCTTCTACGAGCCTACTGTCGTGCACGAGGCATGCGCTAGACCTTCACGCTTCTCGACTCTCCACAGGAAAATGGGATTGCTGAGCGCCGCATTGGCATGGTCATGGATGTCGCCCGTACGTCCATGATGCATGCGGCTGCCCCCCATTTTCTGTGGCCGTTTGCGGTTCAGTACGCGGCGCATCAGATCAACCTTCAGCCCAGGGTCTCCATGCCGGAGACCTCCCCAGCCTTAGTGTGGACGGGGAAGGTTGGCGATGCGTCTGCATTCCGTGTCTGGGGATCTCGGGCGTTTGTCCGCGACTTGTCTGCGGACAAGCTGTCCCCTCGTGCTGCTCCTTGCGTCTTCCTGGGTTCCCCCCTTGACGCGCCAGG